TCTAAGTTGTGTGCGGATATTTTTAGAATTTCTGCAGTAAGGTAGGCTGAAAGAAGATTACTAAATTAGAAGTTCCATCCTCTAGCGTAATGTTTGGGCTTCGTGCCTCAACTTGCATTTAACGGAGCCTTAATCGCTTACGTTTTCAAATGGCTTTTTTAACTTTTAAGTAATCTCTTACTCCGGAGCGTGTATTTAGAATAGGCATTTTTTCCCAAAACAACATTTTGAAACCCTCAAGTAATTTGAACGCTTCAGTACTCCTGTCAGTCTGACGCGGTTCATATCTTTCTGCACTGTTATTCCATCAATTAGCTGATAATTTTTCTCGTAGGCTTTATTGACTTCAGGGCAACCACTTTCGATAAACCAATAACAGCGTCTTTCGGCTAATGTGGTAATTGAATAGGCTTCAATTCTGGACGCAAGTAACTAGGAACAAGCAGGCACTTGCCCTTTCGTAGAGTACTCGAACAGATGTAGCACTAAAGGCTGGAAAATCAATTAATCGTCCATAGTAGAATAGCACGTAATCTAAACGACTCTTTAAATGGGCATCATATAGCTGTAAATAACCTCAGAGCCATAATTGGTTTAGCTCATCAATTAGAGCTAGCTAAGGGTAACATCAATATCATTTCGGGCGCAGAGCATGCTTACGCGGGTATCAGTAAATGAAAGTATCATAAACGCTGTTCATTACAAAGCAAGTTGAGGTAAAGTTATTGCATTAATACAACTGGCCACGTAGCACCAGCCAGAGCTCATTACCGGGTCTAAATGGATTGAATCCGTCGCTTGAAGTACCCAAGTGCTTTACATTTCTGGCAATCTTGCGGCAAAGAGGATAAATTTTATCACATGCTTCAGAAGCTAAATCATCAGCAGGATGTCTCAATTTAACATCGATCTACTCGTTCATACCTTATGCCACCTCAATATTCTTTGCCATTTCTTGTGCATGGTATAGATCTTACGCAATCTAGGAGCAATAGGAAAATGTCGAAGAAACTTTGACTGCGAATTTTAATTACTGTGTTATCCTAGTCTCCAGTTGTAATCCTTGTATGAAGAATTTGGTGCGCATGTTTCCAACTAGAGACTCCACATGTTGGACAACCTGCTTGAAGGTCTTTATTTGCTTTGTGGTACAAAAATACAATCATTCGGGACATGCATCAAATTCTTATTACTACATCAAGACACAGAGCGGCAGATCAATCTTCCTCACTTGATAAGCTTGTTTGGGGTATGCTATTCTCTCCTCAGGGGATTACAGTCCGAAGCAAATTCAAGAAGACATTTGCAAAGATAATAATCTGACATACCGCTAATGTCTTAATATGAAGGAGTTTCAGCATAAAATGAAAATCTGGGAGTACTCCGGTACAGGTCCCTCATATAAGTCCTTTTCATTACTTCTAGTAGCATCCATTATTGTCGCTTTATTACTGGCGGAGGAATGCATATCTCAATATTTCGACACACTCGCGACACCTCCTACCCTCTTCGGCTTCAACTAGTCGTTATCATCGTCACTTTTGGTTCCTGCCAATATCATCCTCGACATTATCATACAAATCATTATTCCTGTAGTCGAGGAAATATCATTCAACAATGTTTCTGGTGTCATCTATTCGTTGAGCACAACCGGACGTACCAACATGCATAATTTGGATCTCATCTTCAGTGATACCCTCCCCATCGCCTAGTTGCCAGTATTTATATTTGTCGTGCGAATCAAAACCTGATTTTATTAGGTAAAATCTGTATAATCATTTCTAAGTATCAGCTTCAAATTCCTACACTTACATACAAGGACGAAGTAATAGCAACCGCTTCTTAAATTTCTCGGATTCATTTCCGCATAACGGCGAATGAAAGGCTTCACATCCCTCCTTGTATCGTGTGGTCTGAAAATCTACGATACCTAGGGATATCTATCCATGAACTTGTACAGGATTAATCCTCATGCTGTAAATTATATAGTAAATAATAAATACGATTAGTCTCCACAACTAACTAACTACAATCCATTACTCTTATACATTCAATCGCAGCGATCAACAATAGCGTTCATATATCATTTAACAATATGAATATTTATCTACATAAAATATATATAAAACATAACGTATTTAAACCTAATACACTAATCTTGCGGGCTGTCCATAGGAAGAGCTTCTACTCAATATAAGAATATAGTAGTGCTTACATCCAACTTCAATATAGCTTTGTATATTTCATTTCTTGAAAATTTCGGCAGGACTACCGCTGTTCTCGCCTGTACACCTGTGCGGCATGTTATTATGCGTATCCAGTCATAAACCCCGAAACGCAGAACAACATACGCTTAATTGTAGCACGGAGAACACGACTAGGTGGGCTGCCAAAAACTTTTCAATAATGAAAATGATACAAAGTATACAAAGTGGATTGTATGCACTACTATATATCTAACCCGTCGAGAAGGACAGATCCAATAATACGAATTTCAGTACCGTAAATTTTTTATTCGCTATAATATAAAATAAACGCGTCATTTTTGGAGAATAACTTCATCCCCAAACCTGAGTCCGTATAATCATATAATTATAAGTCTAAATAATTGGAATGTAATTATTGGACGGTCTAGGGATAACGTATATTTTATTCACGCTAAATTGGAATTATAACGCATTTATAAAAATTTATAATGTGTTATATATCAACTCTATTTTTAAAAAAAAAATTATTTCAGCATATTTCTCACATACAACTTAAATAATCACACATACTTAGATAGCACGAATAAAACTAAATGATATAAACTTGTAAGTGTTTAAAAACTGCAATACTGATTATAGTGTTGTCAAATGAATTTAAGGCATGTAGTTGAGTTAGGTTTCAGAATTTAACCTCGTTTATTTTTTTATCAATAATTAAGGGGTTTTTAAAAACCAAATTCAACAATAACTAATAATAAAATTGAATTTTTCTAAAAAGCTCAGTAGGAAAATCATACCTTTAAACATGATTCAAACAACGGACCACGCCCGGGGAGGCTCGGAGGGTGGAGGTCGAGAGGGGGGGCCTCCGATTGGAGAGGGGGCTGTCGGGGGGGATGGGGGGAGGTCACGAGGGAGGAGGGGGCTGCCGGTGGGGGGAGGGATGGGGCTCAGGGAAGGGAGGGGAGGGAGGGCTGAGCGGAGGAGGGGATGGGGGGCTGCCCGCGAGGGGGGGTGGAAAAAGGGGGGATGGAGGGGTGAGGAAAGCGGGGAGGGGGGCTTTTTGCCTGAGGGGGGGGAGGGGGATAGAGGGGGTGAGGGAAGGGGTGGCCGGAGGAGGGGAGGGGGGCTCGGGAAAGCAGGGAGGTGGCGGAGGGAGGGGGGGGGTCCAGAGCGGGGGGGCGGGGCCCGGGGGGGGGGGCGGGGGGGAGGGAGGCCGGAGGAGGGGGGGAGGCCGGAGGAGGGTGGGAATCGGAGAAAAAGAGAAGGGGATTGTAGGGCTGAGGTAGGATAGGGGAAGGAGGAGGGAGAATAGCCACAGAAGGAGGGTCGGGCAGAGGAGGGGGAGGTAAGCTCCAGAGTGGGGCGGGGGGGGGGAGGCCGGAGATGGGGGATGGAGGGCGCCGAAGGAGGGGGGTCGGAGAGGGGGGAGGGGGGGAAGAGGCTGCCAAGGCGGGGGGCGGGGGGCGAGGCCGGCAGGAGGGAGGGTGGGAAACGAGGGTCCGGGGGGAGGCCAAGAAAAGGGGGGGTCGGGACGCGGAGAAGAAGAGTTTTTAGAGAGAGAAAAACAGGGAGTGAGTGGCGGCTGATTTGTCTTGGGCAAAACTATTAACTTTGGCCATAGGCAACCTAGACGGATTTCGTCTAGGTTGAGATCAACCATAAGCAGGAAAATATCCGTTTCTAGGGTTGACATAGTCACCAATAGAATCCCGTCTAGGTTGAGTTCAACTAAGACCGGGAGAATCCGTCTACTAGTACAAAAAAAAAAGGAAATTATTCGCGTCTCAGGTTGAGTGCAACCTAGACGGGATTATCCGTCTAGGTTGACTGTTTTCGTCTCGTTTGGTCAAACTAGACGGAATTTTCCGTCTAGATTGGATCCAAACTAGACGGAACAAACCTAGAAACGGAAATTGGTTCTGTCTAGTTTTGCTCCAAACTATGAGAAATATTCATTTTACATATAGTTTATCAATACAAAGTTATATATTGTTTATATAGGCGACATCTGAAGAAGCATAAGAATGAAACAACCGGTAGGAATGCAGCGCACAATATTCAGAAAAGACATAAGAAAGAATTTGCTGATTGGTTAAGATTTGATGTAAGTGTTTTACAATTAATTATTGAACATTCATAATATAACATCGCCTAAATATTCTCAAATTGTTTGTCTTAGGTTGAAAAGTCACTTCTTGATGATACTACATTACCAGATGAAATTATTATCCATGCACAACATCCTTATCACGAAGTGAGACGTTATAATGAGCATTTGGTGAATGGATATAAATTTCGAACATTAGAGACCGATGATAGGAGGGTAACTCAGAACAGTGGGGTCATGGGCTTGTTTGCCCAAGAATGTTTTTCAAGTATAAGAGATCAGAATCCAATTCTAGCTGACATATTATATTATGGCATATTAGAAGATATCGTTGAGGTAATTTACGGGTTTGGTAAACCAAAACAATGTACTTACACGATGTTCAAGGTTCGGTGGTGTCCTGCAAAAAAGCAAAAGGATCATTATGGATTTACACTAGTCAATCTTCACCGAGAAGTATATACGTATGAGAAATTCATTTTCGCAGAACAAGCTGATCAGTGCTTCTATGTGAAAGATCCGAATGTCATGTATGATTTGGTGGTTTTGTACAAGGAGCCAAAATCTGTTGTTCTTCCTAATAACAATGAAAAAAATATTGAAGAAAGTGAAGATAATTATAGTGAACCAATCGGTTCATCTGATGATGTTTGGCAAGAATTCTCCTACGCACAGAATGTGACGCTGGATGTAGGTATGAACCTGATATGTTACACCACATTATCGATTTTTATCTTATCATAATAAAAACAATAATGCATTTCATAACAACATATCTCATGAGCATGTATACAATTTTTTCTTAACGATTGTCTTTATTATATTTGCAGATGAGGAGGAGGATGAGGAGGCTCTTTGACCTGGAGGGTGATCGCTCACGGAGTATCACCCCAGGTAGTGGTGCTGATGATCCACTACCATCTCCGGATGCAGGTATAAAAATTAATTAATACTTTAACATGTTTTATAAATTTTTAGTTATCTAGATCATAGTGTTTATTTGTTGTAGATGCTGGATATTCATCACCCGGCCCCTCTGATGCAGCACCAGAACCATCCCCCGACGCAGCACCAGAATCATCCCCCGACGCAGGTATTAAATATTTAATAATTGATAATGTTCAATTAAAATTTAATATTAATGATTCTTCTTTAATATGTAGGTGCTACTTGGACCCCGACATATCCATCATATACATTCCATACTGACTTGCGGCCAAAGACCCAGGACTTTCTCAGTTTACCTTTACCTCCGGACTCTCATAAGTCCAAGGCTGATTCAAGGAAGTACCACATGACGTGGCGGAGGTAAGCCTAAGTCTAAACAACCGCCAAGAGGAATGAGGGCCATTATTAGGTGGAATAGTTCTAATTTACCCGTTGGTCCTTGGTCGGCCCGATTGAATGCATATATTGGGGTTCTCGTGCGTAGAGCGACCATTATCAACCCTTATTTTCATTTTCGAGAATTACCATGGACCGCATACGAGGCGATATGGACTGCGCTTATGGTAAGTGCATATTGTTTTAGATTTTCATTTATTAATAATTAGTAATTGATATTAAATTATCCTTACTAAATGTGTATGTAAATCTACAGGACTGCTTCTGCCTTGAGGACTTTGAGGGGGCTTGGAATTATGTGTTTAATGTCAAGGTTGAAGCAGTCCTCAAACAATGGAGGCATGAGATCAAACATGAAACCTATGACAGGTATGAGGAGGACTGGCAGAGGTTTTTAAACCTCGATGACCGAGTTGATGAGATTCATTTCACGGCTCTCCTCATGTATTGGGACAGCGATGCCGCCAAGGTTAGTTTCATGAAATTTAGTTTATAATTTTAAGATATTATTTTATTTTATATTTATAGATTTTTTTTTAAAGAATAAATCCACGAAGGGGTCAGAAAATAGAAGAAAGAAGCTGCATGACCATCACTTGGGCTCACACTCCTACGCCAATCTGGAGGATGTTTATTGTCAAGATACGGTATATGTCATTTAAAGATTTAAAAGATCTTAATGTTTAGTATGATTATGAAATCTCATAATTTATAATATGACAGGGGAAATCATTAATGCCGATACACTTGAGGGCCAGAGCGGCATATGGTACTTTCCGTGAACAATATAGGGGTGATGAGAGGAATCGGGATAAGATCACAAAAAATCTCGAGTTAGTGGTGAGATTTATCCATATCTTGAGTAGTATTATTAATTCTATTTTGTTAACATTACGAGGAAACGAGAACAAAAATAATATTGTCATTATCTTGAATTAACTATAAATGTGTGCTTTAGGAGGGATTTGAGAACGCATCCAAGGAGGCTGCATCTGTCTACATTTCGCAGGAGGAGGAACAAACCGAGCCAGACCCTCACATGCTTTCTGCAGAGGAGAACATCAATCTCACACAGAACCTGATGGGTCATAATAGGTAAGGATAGTGAAAAATCGAATCAATTAAATGGAACTATTATTTCCATAAAGAGCGGTGTTAGAGGCACACCATGAGGCACACCTCCGGTCACACTCCCCCACCTGCTATAGTGCAGGGGCCCCACAGGAGATTTTTTTAAAAATCTCCTGTGGGGCCCCCTGCACTGTAGCAGGTGGGGGAGTGTGACCGGAGGTGTGCCTCATGGTGTGCCTCTAACACCGCTCTTTTGCGATAAAAGTTAAATATAGGAAGCCTAATAAAAGATTGACTTAACGTGGTTGACAACCGCCTTAGATATTTAAGAAAACTTAGGCCAAAATGTCAGATTGGAATTTTTCGTTCAACCCCTCGGTCATATGGATATTTTTTGTTAGTCCAGCATCAATTGGGTTTTTCTGTTTTTCCCGAATTTTGGTCGCCCAACGAGATTTAATATATGGGATAAGTAAACATGTGATGTCACGTGACTTTCATCAACCATTAATTACAAGTTTATGTCAATTGATTTGTGCTTTGTAGTGGTTTGCTATTTTAATGTTCATCTTTGTAGCGCTTTGATGTTATGATTTGATACTGATGTATGATGCTTAACAGACAATTTCATTTAGAATCGGGATAATCACAAGCTAAATGCGAATACATACATATTATTGACTTTTGGAAAAAATGATTATATCTTTCAACCGAGAAGGCTGGTTCTAATATATTATATATAAAAAATCGCTTATCTTGATGAGATCAAGCTGTTCAGAGTAACAGATTCCTAAAATCACATCAGTGTCACCGATTTATGGAAAAAATTTGGCAGTAATATTCTTTATTCCGTCTAGGTTGACTTCCGTCTAGATTGATCAATCTAGACGGAATTCCGTCTAGTTTGAAGCAATCTAGACGGAAGCAAAATAAACCAATCAAACTAGACGGAATTCCGTCTAGATGAACTAATCTAGACGGAATTGCAATCAACCTAGACAGAAATTTCCGTCTAGGTTGATCGTTTTTCTACTAGTGATCGAATTGGATTGGAATATAATAACTTTCTTCATAAACTACAGTCCTGAATATGAATCTAATCACAGCAGCGTTTTATAGTAGAAATTGATATGACTGACTTCATAAATAAAAAAATTATAAGAATTCATACAGAAATTCATGTTTATAATATTTGAGGAAATTCTAGAAAAGGAAAAGGAAAAAAGAATGACGCGTAAATTGATGTGATTTAAGCTGAGTTTCTATGTTACTCTTGCAAGAGTCAACTCCGTTACCATTCTATCAGGTGCCGTTTGGCAAGGGATTAAGAGAGGAGGGCTAAGGTAAAGAATTAACTTAGTTAACCCTCCACGAGGGGTTATAGTTAACTTAATTCTGTTTGGATTGATTGGTTGTGACAATTGGTTAAATATTTTGACAAAAGAATAAGGGCTAAGGAAGTTAATCCCTCTATTTTTTTAAATACCAACTTTAACCTTATTGAAAGTTTACTAATGGTTACCATATCAAAATAAAATAAACATGAATTTATATATATATGAACTATAAAAATATTACTTTTTATTATTCAAGTATATGATTTTTGAGAAGGGAAATAAAAAGTAAAATATTATTTTTGCATTAAATAAATATTAAAGAGAGGTAATAATTTGACAAAAATTAAATTATTTTTACCGATCAATTAACTTAGCAATAAAAGATTATTTGAAGAACAAAAATATAACAACTTACCAAATAGTACTACACGTGAAACTAAAATATTGCTAAAATAAAGATAATAGCAATAGTCTATAAGGGGTTGTTTGTTTGGCAAAAATGATGAAGAGAAATAGGTTTCCTATGCTGACAATATGACAGTGGGAAATCTAAGTTCAAAAAGATTTTCTATTCCTCAGTTTGGTTTAACATAAGATTTAAGAAAATGAGTTGAAGAAATCACCTGCCAACTTAGATTTAAGGAAATGCCCATTTCCGAGCTTTGAGTTCAGAAATGGGATGAAAAGGGATTAAATAATTATTCTTTTTCCTATTCTGGTGATGGGTAAGTGAGGTTTCCTATTCTTAGTTTACTTTTTTTTAGTTGTGAAACAAACAATGGAGATGTGAGGAGATCTATTTTCAATCCTATTTTGTGATGAACCAAACAAATTTTAAGAAACCTTTAAAAACACATGAAAAACAATATCCATACTTCCTATTTTGTGATGAACCAAACAAATTTTAAGAAACCTTTAAAAACACATGAAAAACAATATCCATACTTAGAAATAAGTTTTCTATAATCAGGGAAACCAACCAAACAGCTCCTAATCTAAATTCATCATCAGAGTCAAACTCCAACCTCCTTACACATTAATATTCGACATAAACTACCAATATCAATTATTGCATAGCTAAAAAGCAATTCTACTGTGAAGTTGCTCGCCCCTTAAACTCTCATCTGCACCAACAATGTTTTGGAGTCTTCTTCTTCCACCTCCTCATCTACATCCTCATTCATCTCCAATCGATTGATCATACTAAAATATTTGTCATTTCCCTGATGTCTTGCAATAAAATTGTACAGAACACAACAAGCAATGGCGATTTTAACTTGAGTTTTATAAGGAAAATGAGCAACAACTTTTAAAATTTTGAATTTTTGCTTCAAAATCACTCATGCTTTCTCAACTGCATTACGTAATTGCACATGTCTATAATTAAATTTATCTTTAGCATCCCGTTAACCTCTAGTTGCAGTCCTATTCTGGAAGTCTCCAAGATGATAGCGTGATCTATGATATGGAGGGATAAATTTTGGAGTGTTAGCATATCCCGAGTCAACTAAGTTAAACCGACCTATATAATTAACTTATATGAAATTAGTACTAATCTAATATAAACAAATTAGAGACAAGAATATTAAGATTCGCATTTGGGAATATGAAATTTACCATCCTCCATGGTTGCACAAAGTACTGACATATCAGATGTTGATCCCTCCCATCCAGCAACAACATAAAGGAAAGTGCGATCGAAGGAGCGGGCCGCCATTACATTTTGAGATATGAAATTTTTTCAATTACGGTACATGTTATGTTTCTTTTTCTTCACAATTGCTGGAATATGAGACCCATCAATTGCTCCCAATGATTTCTGCAAATATAAATGAAATATGAAGTTTTGATGTATACACATTTATAATTTCTCTCAAAAAAATTGTACCTTGAAATATGAATAAAAGTTAGGATTTTCTTGAATCTTAGGATTAATGTCTACATCGGGCATGAGAAGTTGGATATAGTCTTGCTTCAAAGACAATATTGCATTAAGCATATTATTATAATGTCTACTAATGGTTTCTCCCGAATGTTGAAATATCTCAGCCAATATTTGATTTGGAAGTGCATGTGAAATCCTATATAAAAATATACATATTTGCTCATTTAAACTTAGATATCAAGTTGGTCATAAAGCATTCTTATCAACTAGAACATTTTTTAGCATAAGAATTGCATCGGAACTCATTTGGAAGCAAGAAAATATGCCATCAGGATGTCCAGTCAAGATATCTTCTACAAGCATATGACCATAGAATGACCTAGTATGACATGAGCTAGGAAGTTGCTTTATAACAGTTGACTGATGAATAATACTTGTGA